ATGATCATGAGTGAGGGACCTTATATCTTCCTATACCCACTGTACATATGGATCCCTACCCTACAGATGTCTCTATATGCTTGTATTAAAATGCACACATGCTGTTTTGATTAACCAGAGAGAAATACCTCATTCTTGATCATTGTTCTTATTATTTATAATGGCAAAAAAAAAAAAATCTCCGATGTGATCATGATTAATCTAGTAATTGAATATGGTTTGCCTTTTAAATAATCCAATTAACTTTGGTAAATTAAAAATAAAGTTGCCTGACACAGTTGCAGAATGAAGAGGGGTGGGGGAGAAAATAAACCATTGCTTTACAAAATGGATCATCTCTTGAAATGAAACCCTTCCAACTGTGAAGAATGTGTTAAGGTTTTATCCAACGAATGCTCTTTGTGTCAGAACACGGATCTAAATCAGGATTTAAACTTTACAACCACTGCAGTCTTTCCCCTGGAGCTCATCGCCTGCTGGAGCCTGAGAGGGCAGTGGGGTTGTCGCAGACCTCTGGGGAGGGCTGGGAAACAATAGCTGCTCCGAAGGAATTGCTGCCAAGATCGACACCAACAGGAATCCCTTCCCAGACTAGGGGAGACTGTAGATTGGGTGTTTCGTTCCACAGAGGAAAAAAGGGGAAGCCACTGGGCTTTCTATTTACCGAGGGAACCAATCCCAAAGACCTCCGTGGTCCGTGCGTGCGCGGACGTCTCCAGGGGTGATCAAATCCTCCCCGGCCCTGCAGGGAGGAGGCTGCAAGCAGAATGCAATCATGCACCTGCCGGTTAACAGATAAGCCCTCCCTATGCAGAGGCACTCACCCAGCTGTGGCGGAGGCGTGAGCCTGAGCCGACCGAGTCCCTCCTCCACCCCCACAGAACACAGGGCGGTCATTTGCTGCTCCTCCCCGCATCAGATGCACGCACACGCCTTCCATCACAATTAACCCAAGGCTCTGAAACACAACACAAACTCGCCAGCAACATGCTCCAAATCAATGCCGTCGATACCCAGAACGAGGACATGAGGCAAAAAAGCAAAACAAAACAAACCTCTTCAAAGAGTAAATACTCAAAGCAACAGGGCTGGAATCATGGCACAAGGTCAGCAAATCTAAAGGCAAGTTCAACAAATCCAAATACAGGTTTAAGTACAGGGCACCTTAGAAACAGAAGGGCTGCCATTAGGCCGAGGGTTGCAAATGTAAATACCTGCAGGAGGCCAGATAATGGGAAGGGCTATAAGATAGGGGGGAGGGGGCCGGGCTGGGGGTGGTGGTGGCAGGCGATCAGGATCAAATTCAATGAAAACAACTCTCAATGAATTTAACTCTTGCTACACGATTCTTAAACAGAGTCATGATTCTTAGACAGCGAGTCAGCAATCAGAAGGAACGGAGTTACATATGATGGATACTGTTATTGTTATTAAATATGATGGATACTGTTACTGTTGGCTGTCTTCCAGTTGATCCCAACTCCTGGGGACCTCAGGGGTGTAGAGTGGAACTGCCCCCAAGAAGTTTCAAGGCCTAGGGTCTCAGAAGCAGAATCGCCAGGCCTTTCTTCTGAGGTGCTTCCGGTTGGGTTTGAACTGCCAACCAGCGACCCTCGTTGTTATAGTTAGCTTATAACTTCAGAGGCACTAGAGCAAGTCAAGAAGGAAACAAAACGGCTGCATGGCCCTCTAACATAGAACATTCCAGTTGATCCCAGAGGTCCGTCATGCAGGGAATCATTGAGCTGGATTTGAATAGGAGTGCGCACATTCTTCTCCAACCCACACCAAACCCCCTGCATCCAGTCAATGCTGACTTGTTGTTGACCCCTGTGGGTTTCCGAAACTGTGTTTTTGGGAGAAGAAAGCCCAGTCCTTCTTCTGCAGAGCTGCCAGTGGTTTCAAACTGCCAACCAGGTGGATCGCAGCCCAAGGAGTAAGCACTACACCGCCAGGACTCCTCCCAAACCAATGGTGCTGCCCCAAAGTGTAGGTGTGGTGTTAGTGGAAAGCAAAGGTGGACCCACTGATCTCCCAAGGTCCTGATTTGAATGCGACTCTAAGTCAACTCTTGGCTCCCCAGTCCCAAAGGAGACAGTGACAAATCATCCCGAGCTGAAGATAATGAAAAGTTATATTTGCCTTTGGAATGTATTTTGGTACTTAAATTAGAACGTGTCTTTCTGACGCGCAGAGAATTCTCAATGCTGTGCAACAGCCACGCAGGCTGACCCGGAGCTGGGAGGCTGCCCAATTCCGCCGCCCTGTCCTCTGTATAACTCGTACTCCTTGCGGAGGGTCAACAACAGCATCTTTCGGAACAGCAATGCAGCAGCCCAAGCTTTCTCAGACAGAAGCTCACTGGCTCAGCTCTTCCTCCGAGACGAGGGGGGGGCGGGGTCTTTCCGAAAGGGCTAAGACCCAGGAGAATCTGATTCTCGACTCCAGAAGATGATTCCAGAGGCCTGCAGGATCCCCAGTGAGCAACCAGCTAGATTACCAAGTGTGCACACCTGCTGTACGGTGACCACAAGAGGAGGGTCTATCCCATCTGGAGCCTCTACCGTAGAGGCTCCACAGCAAATGCCGTGGGTTCCGTGGAAGAGAGTGAAACCTAGAACCTTCATCAAAGAGGCAGATCAAATGAATGCCCAGCACGTGGAGAGAAGGGAGTTGCAGACTCAGGAGGGCAGGACCCATCCTCTGACCTCTAAGGCTGGGTGGGATGAGGACCCACCACAACCAAGCTTAGGCACCAGGCCCAGACAACAGACCTCGGCCAACAGCTGTCCCTGGGCTGGGCTGACAAGTACTCCCTCTGACTTGGAAAGGACACAGAGACCTAGAACATTCTGCTACCACACGGTTCTGCCTCATTCCAAGACAGTCCTAGGTCAGGAGCGGCCCTGGGGGCAAGATGTCCTCTCTCAGTTCTGATCCTTGAAGCTGAAAGATCAGTCACAGGGCAACACAACCTGTGACTGCAACCTCAGTTCGCCTTTGTGATGGATGCCCTGGAAAGGGGCGAAATGGGAGCAAGGATAGGAAAAGTGAGCTACAAGAGGTGGTTTTGGCGCAAACTGGGTCTGCATAGTCAAATAACTTGCACAGGGTTCACAGCTTGTGGGTGAGAGGTCTTAAAACCAGGTCTTTCAAAGTCAAAGCCTGAAGTGTTTGCTTTTCTGGTACAGGCAACAGCTACGCACAACATCACCTGCTGTTCCTTTGATTGGTGCTCCGGGAGAAATTGGGCTTCTCAGCCCCAGGCTGACTGCTGGCCCCTGGGTGTTTGGATTGCCGGATTGATTTTGAAGTGATCACTAAACTTCTCCTAGTGTAGTTTGGCAGAAACTCCAGAGTTAGGGAGCTGGGATTCGATCTGAACTCACTCGTTCACATGCCATGCACTTGACAGTGAGCAAGTGTCTGAGTGAGTGTTTCGGAATCCCAGTGTCCCGTCTCTGCATCAATGGGGATGCGTCTGTTCCTCCTCCATAGTGGTGTCAAGCGGATCAGAGGAGACGATGGGTAGGAAAGGCTTAGCACAATGCCTGGCACCGGGTGTGACTGCTGCTGGATGCCATCGAGTTGGTTCTGACTCATGGTGACCCCGGGATGCACAATAGAAGCAAACCCTGCCCGGTCCTGCGCCAGCCATCCTCACACCTGGTCTTATGTCGGAGTCCTTCGCTGCAGCCCCTGGGTCCACCACCTTGTCATGGAGTCCCCCTGTCCACTGCCCCTCCACTTTACCAAGCAGGATGTCTTTCTCCAGGCTCTGGTGTCTCCTGATGACATGGCCAGAGGACATTAGACAAAATCTCACCGTGGGCGTGCACAATACATGAGAACGGCCAACAGCGGTTGGCTGAAATGCACAGTCAGGTGCAATCACCTACCTAGACTGCAGGACAATAAGTGTCTGCAGCCATACACCTTTGCACAGATGATGTACCCGAATCTCAACGAGGAGGTGACCTAGTCAGAGGTATAGCGTCAGGGCACATACTCAAGCCATTCGGACTCTAATCTTACGCTCCTCAGGCTCTGCTGTCCAATGTTGCTTCTGAGGAGAGAGAGGGGCAGTGGCAGCAAAGGACTAGTGCAGAGGTGGAGCCGTTCCTCTTCATGTGTATTTCCTTCCTTCTTTGAAACGGGCAAGGTATGCGTTCTGGTCTTACGCAAACAAAACCAACTCAGAGTGACCCTAAATGAGATTTCGGAGATTTTGTACATCTTTACAGGAGCAGTCAGTCGCATCCTCCTCCCTCAGACCAGCTGGTGGGTTTGAACTGCTGACCTTACGGGTAGCAGCACTCCAACACTTAGCTGGCAATGCCACTAAGGCACCTTTCAAAGCCCAACCAAACTCACTGCCATCAAGTGAATCCTGACTCATAGCGACCCTGTAAGACAGGGTGGAACGGTCCCCATGAGTTTCTGAGACTTTAGCTCTTTACGGGAATGGAAAGTCCCCTCTTTCTCCAGTGGGGCGGTAGTTGGTGATTTCAAACTGCCGACCTTGTGCTCCGCAGCCCAATGCATACCCAATGCGCCACCAGGTCTCCTAGTCTTATGTCAAGTGCTATGCACTTACAGTGCTGAGCATCCTCTTTTACCATGCCTGCCACCACCCTTGAGCCCCTCCTCTGTAAAATATCTGGAGGTCCCTGGTGAGAAGTGACACATAACTAAGGGGCTTGAATAGGAAGAGGAGAGAGTGTTGTAAGGCAGGGCATTCCAATTTTCTCCGTAGAAAGCCTGTTGACCAAGCATCCTCCAAACTGCCTTCCATCCCAATTCTCCGCTTTAGCAAAGGGCAAGGACCGACTAGGTCAGAAGCCCCGAGGAACCCAGGCAAGTTACAGCTGCGTCACAGCTGCCCTCAGAGTGACCTAGTGCTGTACTAAGTCCGTGGGTTTTGAAGTTCCTTGTTACACAGCCATTCTGCAGCAAAACTGACCAGTGCATCTTCCCAGTTCCGAGTGGGGGACACTTACCCTGCCACGACGATCTCAAAGTCCCCGTCGTGGTCCACATCGGTCACTGCCACGCCATAGTTGAGCTGGGTGGGGTTGCTGTCATAGTCGGGTGGCAGAACTGAGTTGGTGACTGCGGTGAACATGGGCTCTACCCGCTGGGATCCTTCCGTGGTGGGCAGCAGCCACAGGAGCAGCAGGAACAGTAGCATCCTCGGCAGCTGAAACCCAAAGCGACAAACGTTACTAGAAGGAGAGCCCCCGGGTCCAACTTCAGTCCAGAAATCTCTCACCTGGGCCAGGCCAGTCGTCTCTTTCTCCCCAGTTCCCAGAGGGCTTGGCAATTGCTAAAGTAAACCCATGCTTGCTGCCATAGAGATGGCTCTGATTCATGGAGACCCAGTGGGTTTCAGGGTACAACCACGCTCTGTAAGGTTCGCAATGGCTGTCATCTGACAGAAGTAGACGGCTGGGTGTTTTACCTGTGGTGTTGGCTGAGGAGGTGTAGATGACCAGTCCTTGGGTTAGTTGACAAGAGCAGACCCTTGAGCACAACCCTCCCTCATCCCCAGGACCTAGCCTGTCCCTTTTCCCCAAGACCTGCCTTGACTACCCCTTTAAAATTGCAACTGGCACCTTAGCCCCCTCACCCTGCTCTGGATTTTCTTTTTCTTCGCACCTACACCCTGGTAGCATAGTGGGCTGAGTTGGGCTGCTAACCACAAGGTGATTGGTTTGAAACCACTAGCTACTCTACATGAGAAAGATGAGGCTTTCTGCTTCTATAAAGATTTACAGCCTTAGAAATCCAAAGGGGCAGGTCTACTCTGTCCTATGGGGTCACTATGGGTCAGAATTGACTCAAGGGCAGTGAGCTTGTTTGTTTGGGTCCTTTCCTTATTCCTTATGTCTATTATTTCTTGTTTGTAGTTTGGCAGGCAGGCAGGTACAGCGCCTGCTGCAGGAACCAGGTCGTAAGCTCCCCGAGGGCAACGACCATTTATTGTGCTCACTGTGGGTCGTACACCAAGCCAAGAAGGCAATCTGGCACGTGACAGGCAGGAAATACACGTCAGGTGAATTAATGAAGGAATAAACCAAAACCAAACTCACTGCCACCGAGTTGATGCCAATTCAGAGCGACCCTACAGGACAGGGCAGAATTGCCCCCGTGAGTTTCCAGAACTGGCATTCTTTTTAAAATCATTTTATTAGGGGCTCATACAACTCTTATCACAATCCATACATACATCAATTGTGTAAAGCACATTTGTACATTCATTGCCCTCATCATTCTCAAAACATTTCCTCTCCAGTTAAACCCCCGGCATTAGGTCCTCATTTTCCCCTCCCTCCCCACTCCCTCCTCCCTCATGAGCCCTTGATAATTTATAAATTATTATTTTGTCATATCTTGCCCAGTCCGACGTCTCCCTTTACCCACTTTTCTGTTGTCTGTCCCCCAGGGAGGAGGTCACATGTAGATCCTTGTAATTGGTTCCCTCTTTCCAACCCACTCTCCCTCCACCCTCCCAGTATCACCACTCACACCACTGGTCCTGAAGGGATTGTCCGCCCTGGATTCCCTGTATTTCCAGTTCCTATCTGTACCAGTGTACATCCTCTGGTCTACCCAGACTTGCAAGGTAGAATTGGGATCATGATAGTGGCGAGGTGGGGGCGGGGAGCAGGGGAAACATTTAGGAACTAGAGGAAAGTTATATTTTTCATCAGGACTGTCATTCTTTACCGGAGTGGTTTTGAACTGTCAGTCTCGTGGGTCACAGTCCAACTCATAAGCGGTACGCCACCAGGGCTCCTCATGAAGGCATGATGGAGTCTAAACATACAGGCATTAAAGCCAGACAGACCAAGGGAGGAACTCTAGCCACTCCGATGAGGCAGATCATGTATCTGAACCTCGACTTCTCCAGCCGCCAAGGTGGGAAACACTTAGCTCGCAGGGTCATTATACACGTGACGATAATGAACACAGAGCTCAGCTTAGTGCCTGGCACACCATAGGTGCTCAGTAAATGGAACCCCCTACCGGGATGACTACAAGAGCCACTTATTGCAGCCTCAGGAGAACCCCAAGTCTCGACAGGAATGTAGACCATAATTACTAAGTTCCAGGGGAGAAAGAAGGCCACGGTCAAGGGTTTCTTGAAAAATGTGTATGCTGAGACATGTCACCCTTCTTGCAAGTCCTGGTAAATAAATGTCTTGTTAGTCCCCACCCAGAGCGGGTGATAGGTAAATAGTCTTGAGGCACTCTCACATGAGATAGCAAGGCACTAGCAGACAGTCACACAGCCCAGGGCTGGAGTCTAGACCCCGGGAGCAGCCAGGTCTAGAACCACATGTTGCTGCGGAAGGATGGGAGCACACCCCAGAGGGAGCCTGAAGGAAGCTGTGCCTCGTAGCAGGTTCCCGAGCCCACACCCCTTCCCAAGGCAGCCAGCCGCCACCTCCCAACCAGGAAGCAGGCAGTTAGGGGCTGCATTCCAGCAGGATCTGGCGAGCAGTGCATCATTCACTTGGAGAAATTAAACCATTGCGTGCGTGCTTTATTTTAAATTAATTATGTATAATCCATTGTATAATTCATTATTATATCTCTAACATAACTCAGAGTGTTGCCAAGCAGCCCGGGGCCACCGGAGCCGGTGGCCCACGCAGAGCAGACGGAGAACGGCCAAAGGATGGCCCAGGAGGTGAGCAAGTACAGAGCAAGGGAGACAATTCTGACACCCTCAACCTGAGACCCAACCCGCACGCCTGGAATTGGAACCCAGAGCGGCCTGAGCCCAGTCCCTGCAGGGGGCGCTGTGCCTTCCCACCTGCCAAATTCCCAAACCAACCTCACTCCCGTTGAGTCAATGCTGACTCATAGCCACCCTTACAGGACGAGGTAGAACTGCCCCTGTTGAATTTCTGAGGTTGTAACTGTTTATGGGATCAGAAAGCTCCTGTCTTCCGCCGGGAGAGCGGCTGGTGGTTTCGAACTGCTGGCCTTGAGGATCGCAGCCGAACTCCATCTTCTGGATGGAACCTTTTCTGCTGGCTTGCCAGTGCATCTGGCAGACCAGAGCAAGGCTGAGTGAGGCTGATATCTTAACGAGGGGACGAGCAGGGAGGACACGAAGCCTGTATTCCCAAACAGAGACAGACCTCCTGCCAGCAAAGGAGCCTGCTCCGCTCACAGACCTGGAGACCGGAGCGGAGAGGCCCAACATTGCCTGGGGAGCCACATGCAAGTTCAGAGTCTCCCCAATGCCTTGTTTGGAGAGTCAGATGGTCATCCATGGAGACACATGGAGGCAGAGTGCTGAGTCAGCAGATCCCTTTTGTGTTTTGATTGGACCTTGCGCTCTAGATCCTGTGTGTTATCCTCAAATAATTTTACTAGCCCGGCCAGGGGTGGGGGCTCTTGCAGCAGGATCAAGGGGCACAGGTTGGGTGTGGTACTATCAGTGAGGTCACGAGGGGAAGACAGACACCCCAACAAGACAGCATCTTCTACTGCACTGTCTTGATTGCCGAAGGCAGATGCCTCACCCTCTCACCCCCGCCCCCCCCCCAGGGACCTGCAACCAGCAGGAAGTTAGATGGGATCAAGGGGTAGTTAATAACCACTGAGGACATGCTGCCTCATGCTGCGATGCAGCGTGCAGATCTGAAGGTCATGGGCCTCTAGGTCAAAAGGGATGACTCCTCCAGGAGTAACCGCAACAGCAAGCGAGTGTCAAGTGGAAAAGCCAAATCCAATTAATTGACAGTGGAGGGAAAGTGTGGTCACCTTAAACTGCCGGCGGTGGGCATGGACAAGACAAGTGGCATGGGCCATGCCTTCTCGAGGTGAGTCGTTCCTCTCGGGTACCATGCCTGCACGTGGGTCCCTGCCACCAGGGAGGCATGCTTAGATGGGAGTAATACCCATCTAAGTAGTCGAGACTCCCTAACGACGTTCAGGGGGTGGCAAGGACCGATCCAGCCCATTGACGGGTGCTTTTTCTCTGAGTAGCAGAACTTTTAATTAAAGGATCCCAACGAGAGAACTAGCTAGCCTGTGTTATTCGTTTCCAGATAAATAACCCACGGCAAGATGAAAAAGGAATTGGGAACCTCTGGTCTGACCTCTCTTTTGCTGGGTGACCTTGAACAAGTCCCCATCTCACTGGGTCACAGCTTTCGTCTCTAAAATGAGGGACAGGAAAGAGATCTCCAAAGGCCTTTCCTTGCTTTTAAATTCTATGATGGATTAAAGGATTTTTTTTAGAAGCAATCCTTCAGCAGTTTTTTACCCCCTCCCCCTTCCCGCAGCTTCTTCTATAAACTCCAGCCCAAACCAATGTGCCTTTTCCTTTCTGAGCGTAATCAACGCGTTTGGAACAAAACAGCTTTTCAGCAGAGTTCTACAACAGTTCCTTCACAGGCCCAAGGCCAGAGAGGAAAAAGGCAGCCTTGCATGTGGCTCTGGAATTCATCCCGTCCTGGGCAGAGCAGTGGGTACCTCCTGGGGGTTAGGGTGGGGTAGGATCAGCCTCCTCTGGGAGTTTAAAAGAACTGCAGAATCTAGGGTTCCACCTGAGAAAGCTGAATGGACATTTTAGCAAGATTTCAGGTGCTTGGAAGGCACATTGAAGTTTTGAGAAACGCTGCTTAGACTTGACCTCTACTGTCTACACCCGGACACCTGGGTCCATCCTGACTCCTGGTGACCCGCTAGGTCACAGAGTAGAACCCCTCCACAGGGTTTTCTGGAATGCAATCTTTATGCCTACAGGCCGCCAGACCTATCTTCTGTGGCACTGTTAGATGGGTCTGAACAACCAAGCCTGAGGTACGTAGTTGAATGCAAACTGCCAGGAGCTTCGGATGACCTGTGTCTTAAAAAGAAATACTGGCCTGGGTCTCCTCCCAGATGACCCCATAGGATTGGTATAGGATGCAGTCAGGACATCGAGTTTTTTAAAGGCCCTTCAAGGCATTCTAATGCGGGGCCAAGTTTGGGGGGGTGGGGGCCTTGTTCTCTGTCAGGGTTTCTGTGCCTTACTTGAGTGTCAGTGGGCATGAATCGTCCGGGGGTCTTTTTCACACTCAGATGCTGAGTCACTAGATCTTCTAGAGGGTCTAAGTGTTTCGAAACGCTCCCCGGTGTGCCACTGCTACGGTTCACCAACTCTGCATCGAGTCGCACGGGGCTAGCCACCACCCGTGCCCCCAATTGAGGATGCATCCTGTATGCCGCCAGGACGGTAGGAGTCTGGTTCAAGGGTCTCCTCCTCTAGCTCTAAGTGGCCATGGCCGTGTGCTGGCGAGTCCACCCCAACTCTCCCTGGCCCCCAGTGACAGAGCTGGCTGCCCCACTGGGTTCTCTTGGCTGACACTGACAGGAGCCGGTGGCCGGGTCTCTCTCCCCCGGAGCCACTGGGTGGGGTACCAACTTTGCAGTCAGCAGCCAAGTGCTTAACCATAGCTTCCCCAGGCCATTGGCATCTAGGCTGTAGCTATGGGAGTCCCCAGGGCTTCACTGGGGCTCAGACAAGCATGAAGCATGCCAAGCACAGGCCATCTTCAATTTCAGGCCATCTGATCATCCTTGATTGAACGCCACACAGAGCTATTTGACTCATCTTGGCAAGGAAGGGCGAAGAAGGGAAGGGTTGGAGCTGGAGGGGGTTCAAGTCAAGGAGACTAGTGATAGGTCCCGGGACAAGGCAGAGCCTAGGGAGGCTGTAGTATGGGCAGGAAGTGCAAGGCTGAGATAGAGATGCTAGCCAGTGGGTTCCCAGAAACCATCTTGGCATAGCTGGCTTCCAGGAAGAGTTCGACATAGAGTTGTTGAATGAAGACATGAAGGAATGGCAGGGGGGAGGGGGGTGTCCAAACGAAGGTGCCTCTCAAGTGATACCGTGAATCAGCAGAAACCGTGTGTAACCATTATTTAAAACTGTGTTATACCATCCGTTCAAAAACAAAAATGCAGTTCTTTCCCGAAAGCAAAAAGCTTCTCAAGCTGCAATAGGCACGAGTCACCGGGACCTCGTAAGAATGATTCAGCAGGTCTGGGACCAGAGCTGGGTGGGATTCCGCATTTCCAACAAGCTCTCGGGGGGATGCCACAGCCACTGGTCTCTAGACCACACTTTCAGCATCCAGGCTCAAAGCCAATGGTTCTAAACCGTAGCTGCCCAATAAAAGCACCTTACCATGTTTAAGAGCATGCTGTAAGCAAATGTGGTGAAGAAAGCTGATGGTGCCCGGCTATCAAAAGATATAGCGTCTGGGGTCTTAAAAGCTTGAAGGTAAACAAGCGGCCATCTAGCTCAGAAGCAACAAAGCCCACATGGAACAACATATCAACCTGTGTGATCACGGGGTGTCGAACGGATCACTGAAGACAAATGGGTGCATAAGCAAATGTGGTGAAGAAAGCTGATGGTGCCCGGCTATCAAAAAGTATAGCGTCTGGGGTCTTAAAGGCTTGAAGGTAATCAAGTGGCCATCAAGCTCAGAAGCAACAAAGCCCACATGGAAGAAGCACACCAGCCTATGCAACCACGAGGTGTCGAAGGGATCAGGTGTAAGGCATCATCAGAACAAAAAATCTCACCATAGTGAATGATGGGGGCAGTGCGGAGTGGAGATCCAAAGCCCATTAATAGGCCACTGGAGATCTCCTTGCAGAGGGGTCTCAGGGAGGAGATTAGCCAGTCAGGATGCGATGTAACAATGATGAGAAATACAACCTTCCTCTAGTTCCTAAAGGTTTCCTCCCCGCTCCCACTACCATGACTCGAATTCTATCTTGCAAGACTGGCTAGACCAGAGGAGGTACACTGGTACAGATAGGAACTGAAAATACAGGGAATCCAGGATGGATGAGCCCTATGGGACCAGTGGTGTGAGTGGCAAAACAGGGAGGGTAAAGGGAGAATGGGTAGGAAAGAGGGAACCGATTACATGGAACTGTGTGTGACCTCCTCCCTGGGGGACAGACAACCGAAAAGTGGGTGAAGGGAGAAGTCGGACAGGGCAAGATATGACAAAATACCCATTTATAAACTATCAAGGGCTCATGTGGGAGAGGGGAGCGGGGAGGGAGGGGAAAAATGAGGACCTAATGTCGGGGGTTTAAATGGAGAGAAAATGTTTTGAGAAATGATGTACAAATACGCTTTACACAATTGATGTGTGTATGGATTGGGATAACAGTTGTATGAGCCCCTAATAAAATGTTTAAAAAAAAAAAAAAAAAAGAGCATGCTGCTGCTCAGACCCCTCCTCCAATGTCTAGTTTAACTGGTCTGCAGCGAAGCCTGGGGGCTGGTTTTAATGGGTAGTCCAGGCTGAGGACTACCGACTGCCCCAGATGCCTGCTCCCCAGATGGGAGAGCAAGCTACCGTCCGAGGTGAAGTGAAAGATGTTTCTGCTACTGAAATCCATCACCAGCTTGTTGGAGTGGACTAAGAAACTCTATCTGGTCAGAGAATGTCAAGAGAAGGGGAGCCTCTTCAAAGTTCAGGGAGGGACGTGGCACAGACTGATCCCTCTGGAATCAGAAGGGGCAGCAGACATCCGGCGTGACCCTGTGCTATACATGGCCGACTCAGGAAACCTCCTGTCACACCACACTGCACATCTGAGTCTTTGGGGAGAGCAGATAGAAAAATCAGAAGCAGAATGGAAAATGAACTCAACTTCCAATTTCCCGAATGCTTGTGCATCGAGCACCTCCTTTGTCCTAGACCGCTATGAACCGTATTCCCGTCAGGTGCAATACTGGAGTGCTACCCAGAGAAACAGGAACTAGCATATCAAGAGATTTAGGGAGTCGGAGAATGCCAGAGGAAGGGAAGCCGTCCTTGATCTCCAGTCTCCCCGCAGGAAGGTGTAACATCCGTGGAAGTACACTGGCAGGTTATCCCAGGCAGAGCAGCCAGAGGAGGGGAGGCTGACCATCAAAAGTGGCCCAGGGCAGAGGAGCACCAGAGCGCCAGGTGTCTCCACCAGAGTCCGGAGCGTCTCCTGCAGGGGGAGGGGGTCGAAGAAGGCTCTTAATGAGGGCAAGAGGTGGTAGCTCCTTGTTTCAGCCAGTGAGAACTGCTTCGTAATTATAATTTTTTTTAAAAAAATGCTCCGTGCTCGATTTGTTGTTGTTTTTTTTTGCAATCCTCAGCAAGATGAAGAGAGAGAGAAAGAGGAAAACAAAGCAAAATCCCCAAGCTTGGAGTCAGGGAGCTGGATTTGGATATCAGCTCCCCTGGAGACTAGCTGGTGACCTGGGACATGCTCCTGAACCCTGCTGGTCCTCGGGCCCCTGCGTGGAGCCCCAGGAGAATACGCCCCACTCAGGCCGTCGTGGGTGGCTTTCACTGCCTGGGCAGGAAGCTCACTTCCCGATGATATTTCGGCCCCCTTTCACACAAGGATAGCACGGAGGTGCGTGTTTAGACATTGGCTGAGGGTCACACGCAGCCCAGCTCTGTTTTCCCGGGCCTCGGGACTTTGCTGAATTGGGTTTCACAACTGGTAACCAAGCAACCTAGATCTTCCAACCTGGGGTCAGGCAGTTGTGGGGAGAGGCTGCCATAGCAATTTTCAGGGCACAAAGTTCCTCGTTAATTACTGAGAGAGCTGAGGACCCGGCCCCAAGCTCCCACCAAGGCAGGAGCCTCGGATGCTGCAGGTGTGGGGAGCGTGCCAGGAGGGAAGAGGGACCCTTCCCAGACCTGGCAGAAGAGCAGAGACACGAGGGAGGGGGGAGAGGCCGCTGTGGGCACGCTGGGCCCTACTCGGGCTGGGCCTCCGGATCGACACAGACACCCACAAACACGCTCCCGGCACTGAAGCGAGGTTGGAAAGGAATGTTTGCCCAG